GTGTGTTTCTCTACGTGTGCAGGTGCAGCGGATCACTAGTGGCCTCAACCTCACGGGATCAGACCCCCCTTCCGTACAGGTAGATTTTTACGTCTACACAACGCCCCGAATCCCATATGCAAAAACAGCATACCAGTTTGAGACGATACTCAAATCTTCTCCAAACCAAAACATTAAATATTCAAATCTTCAAGGTCTTACAAATCAAACAAGTCAAAATTTGAGAAGAGTCTTGTCAACTCGATGTAGTAAAAAGGCATACATGATATAAGTTTGTATAACATGCAGAGTAATAAAAATATTAACAGAAATTCAGATATCAAGACGAAGATACCATTTCACATAATTTCATTTTTACCTCAGAACTTACACAAGTTATTCACACCATTCATATATCAAAACATTTTCATTTAGAACCCATGTCACATAGTGTTATACCTATATTCCCAGTGGTCGGGTCAGATCATATATCACCGGTAACTGATGACCCGGCTAAAATTTTAGATCAGAAGTGCATACAATATAATAGAGTAATCCACTTGAACCAGAATAATCATATCAAAGCTCACAACACTACGGATAGTGTGCCAAATTTTTCCTTTTCGTATCTTTTTTTGTTTTTTAATTTTAATTACAAAACTTTTTTTATTTTTTGGCTTTGTAAAGAAAATAACTCCTATTTGTTTCTAATGATGAAGTCATAGGTTCGAATTAAGAGGGACGAACTCGTGAAAGAAAAACCACAATATCTTAAGAGTTGGCCGGGGTATTATAAAGCTGATGACTATACTTCATTTTGAACCATGGAAGAAGATTTAAGGAGACTAGAGGGTTTATTGTGAACATATGAGGAGGTTGATAATGTACCACCAGTTTACACAGTTGGGCTGCTCATTGATCTAAAGGGTGAGAATATTAAGTTAGATTCAGGTGAGATACAAAAAGCTGATGAGATCACGAAATGGCTTGATCAGCAACCTTATTCATCAGCTGTTTTCTTGTGCTTTGGAACAAGTGAAAGAAAGTGCATTCGGTTTGGAGCAAAGTGAGACAAGATTTTTGTAGTCTGTAGTCTCTACGTAAACTAAACAACAAACATGTTGAGCCAAGTGGTTACACTAGTGATCATCTCTTCAGGAGGTGTTGCCAAATGGGTTTTCGGAGAAAACAAAGTGGATTGGTTGTGTCACATTCATCAATGTACCACATAGCATCCAAGAAAAAGCCATTACCATCAAAAGCAGCACCATTGAAGCCACCTAATTTTGGCCCGCACGACAAATTATCTCCATTAACAGAATCATCAAGAAAATTTTCGTATACAACCAATCAATAAAGGTACATGACATCAATGTACGTGATATAAATTCGTTTTTGTTGATTGATTGTATATTCATCTATTGCACATAATTTTTTTTTCTAACAGTCTTTTAAATTCATAGGAAAATTTAAAACAAATTATGTGAACAATAACAGATTCAATAAGATTATGTAAATACTGTTAAAGTTTGAACCTATTTGTTGAGTTTAAACCTGGCCAATGTTAAAGAAACAACGAGCTGCAGCGTTGGAATGGAAGAAGTTGATGTTATGCTATAATCTGAAAAAACGCATAGAACAAACACACACAACAATCAAAATAGTCACACACACACACCAGAATTACCGTGGTTCACTTGCTCTAGATTCAAACAAGCTACGTCTACGTTGAGCTTTAGAAATGGGGAGCTCGCTGCATTACTATTAATATTGAATCAACAATTTATAGCCCTATTCAAGAACACGCTCAAGATCCTCCTCTCACAGTCCTGAAATACAACCCGTAACCTGACTCTAGGGAGACTCTAAACCACGGAATCCCTAGAACAAGAGCTATCCCACTCTTCTCCGAATGATTAACACAAATCACTCAAGAATCACACAAGTTACACTCAATTTCATATCAAAATTGCAAACCCTAACAATGAACACAAAACAAAGGGGAATGCTTTGAAAGAGGACTAATGGGTTTTCTAAAATTTGTTGCACTTTTATATTGTAGACTTGAAGTAGGAATTCCAACCGTTGGATTGGTGTTGAATCAGCGGTCAAGATCCAACTCAAAGAACTGGTGCAAATAGTGACGTTTTACTAATCCTCCAAAACAACGACGTTTTTGCATTCACTTCAACAGTTGAATTTATCGCCAAAAGAGAACTCGTCATGGCAGAAGAAAAAGCGTGTCGTGGAGAACAAACTGGAAGGAATTCCGTCTCGACAAAGGGGAATTTGCCACAGCAAAGGTTGAAGACAAACTCTTGAAAGATTCCAAAAAGTGCTTCGTTGCGGTGAGGAAAGGCTATTGTCGTGGCACAATTGAAGAATGAATTTCGAGAAGACGCTTGCCACGACGAAGAAACTTCTTGACACGGCGAACATGCATCTTACAACTTTTGATGTAATAATTCATCATTAGTTAGTTCATAAGATAAGTTTCATCCCCTTTATATATTTACAAACTAACAAATAATGAATTGTCATATTAAAGATCACGAGAGAAAATGGTATAACTAATATTATTATTATTTTTAATATTCCTTTTTAAAAGGTATGTTATTTTGATTTTTGAGTTAGAATTAAAAAAAAAAAAAGTAGAATTAGTTTATGTTTAGAGCTACTCCCTCTGTTTTTTTTTTAATTGACGTTTTAGGTGTAGGCACAGGTTTTAATAAAAAAAAAATTTCTCTCTCCCACCAACTTTTTTCCCTGATTTTGCAAGTAGGAGAAACTTTGAAAGTGGGAAACTTTCTCGCTTATTTAAATAACATTTTTAACATTTTTGTCTTATTGCATTTGTTTCTCCCACCAACTTCATCTGTTTCTTTTCTTTTCCGCTGCTCCAGCTCTTTAATTTTTTCGTCCCTCACTCGTTTCTGTTCTCTTTGATTCTGTTCCGTCAGTCACCATGGCCGAACAATGTAATAGTAGAGGTGTACTTGGGGAAATTGATTTAAATGTTCTTCCAACATTAGAAACTACGAATGAAGTTGATGACAAAAAAGCCACTTACATGATAAAGGCACTCATATCCTCATTTGTTCTAATTCTTCATTCGAAACTTTACGACTCATAATCTCCACTACGTTTACAGCCTAATGTATTTACAGAACCTCAATTTGCGGAACACAATAATGCAACAGCATCACAAATTGATTTTGACAATGATTTTGATAAGAAAAAAAACATCACAAATTTCTAAACTCAAATCTACTACGCAATTGCCACAAACGCCCATTTTCTCATTTTTCTCCCATGGACACCACTCAACCAGACTAGTCCACTCTCCCTGCACTTCTCCTCAACGCCATCGCTAAACGCCTCGCCACACGCATAGACATCCTCTCTTTCTGCGCCGTCTGTAACTCATTCAAGGACTTCCCTTTCCCATCATCTGTATCGTCACTCTCCTCTCAACTCCCTTAAGAAACTTCAGCTTTTGTTAACACCCGTGTGGACTGGAAGGAAACCCCAAAAACTCACGAGTTCAAGGCTGATCTTCCAGGGCTCAAGAAAGAGGAAGTGAAGGTGGAGATTGAAGACGACAGGGTGCTTCAAATAAGTGGAGAGAGGAACATAGTGAAGGAAGACAAGAAAAAGAGAGAAAAGATGGAAGCAGAGATAAATTAGAGAAAGAAGAAGTGGCAATGGAAATTAAGGAAGAGAGGAGAAGAGGGGAAGAGATGAGATAAGATAAAAGATTAAAGAGAGACAGAGGCAAAAAGTAGAGAAATGACAAGATGAAATGGAAAGAGAGAGGGCATGATAAAAAGTGGAGAAGGCATGATGAAGGTGAAGAAAAGACAAAGACAGAACGACTTTAATTTTGAAAATTTTAAAAACTCTTAAAACGATAATTAAAAAAAAAAAAAAAAAAGGAGGGAGTATTATCTTTTACTATAAAAAGGGGTGAAAAGTTTATTTTTGTGCAAGTTTTAGCCATCCAATAAAGTTTTCTTCCTCCAGTTTGTCACGTTTTGCTGTCAGAACTTAATTACCAACTCCAGTTCATCACGGTTTTCCTGTCAGAATTTAATTATCAACTCCGAATTCCAAGAAATAGTCAGAGAACGGTATTTAAAAAACTTAAATAAATAATGATTACTAGACAAAAAAATTTAGTGTAATAATGTGTAACATGACTTTATAAAATACTTTCTTCTGCATTTACTCATCTAGAATAAACCCAAGAAAGCCAATATATACATACCCATCTTTTCTTGTCTCAACCACCACCAACAAAATGAAGAAAGCTGAGCTTGTGTTTGTCAAAAGAGTAATGCTATACGTATTTACAGATCTTATTAACCATCTTATTAATCTTTATTAAAATTATATATGGTATTAATATTATGTTTAGGGTACCTATACTATGCTTTATATTTATAAAGGTCAATATGCTGTTAGTACACTAGTAAATACGCATAGTATTATTGTTGTCAAAAAGTTTTCAATCAATTATATTTTTATTCCTATTACAATTTTGTTTTATAAGTACATATTAGGATATATTTTCTATACAGATTTTTCTCCTATAACTACGTTAACCATATGAAGGAGATAATTTCTTTCCATCCAACTTCCTATAACTACTCTAATTCCTTTAATATACAACTCACGCCAACAGTGTTCATTCCTCCCCCAGTTTCAGGCCACCTGGTTCCCCTAGTTGAGTTTGCAAAACGCTTGTTAGATCATGATGATCGTTTCTCAGTCACTATTCTTCTCATGCATTCTCCTACTATCACCTCTCTTGTAGCTGCATATACCGAATCTTTTGCAGAATCTAATACTCCAATAAGGCTCATCAATCTTCCTCCTCCTGTAAATCTGTTGAAAAGTTTATAACTGAGGTCGTAGATTATCATAAAGCCTGTGTTAAAGAAGTCATTGTCAAGCATGTTCTTTCAAACTCTAACTCAGCTCCACTTGCTGGGTTAGTGATAGATTTCTTTTGTACATTGATGATAGATGTGGCAAATGAACTTGGTGTTCCTTCTTATTTGTTCTTCACTTGTAGTGCAGCTTTTCTTGGTCTCTTAATATACCTTCCAACTCGACATGTTGAGATTGGTAGAGAATTTGAAGAGTTTGATGGTGAGATTGTGATTCCTAGTTATGTTAATCTAGTTCCAAGCAGTGGTCTGCCTGAAGTTTTGTTAAACAAGTATGGTGGCTACACGACATTTATGAACCATGGAAGAAGACTCAAGGAGACCAAAGGGATTATTGTCAACACATTGAGGAGCTGTAGTCTCATGTGGTGAAGAGTTTGATGAATGATTTTGTTAATGTGCCTCCTGTTTACACAGTTGGACTGGTGATTCATCTCAAGGGTGAGAGTGATAAGTTAGACTCAGATGAGATCATGAAATGGCTTGATGATCAACCTGATTCATCAATTGTTTTCTTGTGCTTTGGAAGCCAAGGGAGCTTTGGAGAAGAGCAAGTGCAAGAAATTGTGGTTGGATTGGAGCAAAGTGGGCTAAGGTTCTTATGGTCATTACGAAAGCCACCACCAAAGGATAAAATTGAAAAACCTAGTGATTACAAGAGTGATGATCTCCTGGAAATCCTGCCAAATGGGTTCTTCGAAAGAACAAAAAAGATTGGTTTGGTGTGTGGATGGGCACCACAAAAGGCGATGTTGGCACATAAATCAGTGGGAGCATTTGTGTCACATTGTGGGTGGAATTCAATCTTGGAAAGCTTATGGTTTGGTGTCCCAGTTGTAACATGGCCTATGTATGCTGAGTAACAGCTTAATGCATTCCAACTGGTGAAAGATTTGGGACTGGCTGTGGATTTGAAATTGGATTATAGGATCATTAAGGGTTGCAGATGAGAGAGCAAGAGCTGTAAAATGTGTAATGGAAAGCGATAATGAGGTGAGGAAGAGGGTCAAAGAGAAGAGTGAAAAGAGTAGATTAGCAATGATGGATGGTGGATCTTCATATGCTGCATTTGGAGGCTTGATTGATAATATATCAAAAAAAAAGCCATGGAAGAAGAGTAGTCTTTGGTCTCTATTTGATCTTTTTTGCATGATGTGTAATGCCTTTGTTCCAATTTCTTTAAGAGTTAACTTCATGTTGAAAGTTTGTTCATGAATCTTCTTATAAACTAATATATTATTTTCTAAAAGTTCATCATGAATTTTTTTTTCTACGTCTACGCGTATCTCAACTTATATCTCAGGTCTTGAAACTATTAACAACTGAGAAGAAGAGATTTAAACTAAGATCTCTTCAATAATATACTCAAACTACTCAGACCACCAAAAAAATAGTTATCACGAATCTTCTTACATTTCACTCCAATGACATTAAACCAATTGGAGATTTTTAATCAATTGTTGAGTTGACTTTTAATGGTGATAATGGTGTTTGAAAGGAGATTGCAGCAGCGAAGCATTCACCCCACCCACTTCCTTCTTTCCCTCTGTGAGGGAGCCCCCACGGCCCTCCCTTACAATTTGTGATATGATATCATATATTTTTTGAAACTTTCTTTCTTATCTACTTAATTCAATTATATCATCAATGAAAAGAAAAAAAAAATTGGGTGGGAGAGGGGTATATGTCACGTGTAAATCTATCCAATAAATTATTATATATACGTTACATTTAAATAGTTTTTTGGTTTATTGCAATGGAAGACTTAAAAATTGTTTCGTACATCAATGATCGACATGGGAAATGAACTTGGTGTTCCTTCTTATCTGTTCTTCACTTGTGGTACAGCTTTTCTTGGCCTTATTTTAAGCCTTCCGGGTAGAAATGATCAGAAACAGCAAAGAACTTGAAGAGTTTGATGATGAACTTGTGTTCACTACTTATTTCAACCCATTACCGAGAAGAGTTTTGCCTATATCTATGTCTACTAAAGATGGTAGGTACACTACTGAAGCTGTGAACCTTGGAAGAAGATTCATGGAGACTAAAGGGATTATTGTGAACTCAGATGCGGAGCTGGAATCTCATGCGGTTAAGTGTTTGATGAATGATTTTGATTGTGTCCCACCTGTTTACACAGTCGGACCGCTGATTGATCTAAAGGGTGAGAGTAATAAGTTAGTTTGGCATGAGACTCAACAGGGTGATGAGATAATGAAGTGGCTTGACGATCAACCTGATTCATCGGTTTTGTTTTTGTGCTTTGGAAGCATGGCATGGGGAGTTTTGGTGAAGAACAAGTGAAAGAAATTGCATTTGGACTGGAGCAATGTGGGGCAAGGTCCTTGTGGTCTATACGGAAGCCCGCAGCGAAGGATAAACTTGCTGAGTCGAGTGATTATACTAGTGATCATCTTCAGGAAATCTTGCCAAATGGCTTCCTGGAGAGAACAAAGGAGATGGGAATGGTATGTGGATGGGTGCCGCAAAAGGCGGTGTTAGCTCATAAATCAGTAGGAGGATTTGTGTCACATTGTGGGTGGAATTCAATCTTGGAGAGCTTGTGGTTTGGTGTTCCGATTGTCGCATAGCCTTTGTACACTGAGCAGAAGATTAATGCATTCAAAATGGTGAAAGATTTGGGACTGGCTGTGGAGTTGAGATTGGATTATACAAACAATAGTAAAGAAGTTGTGTTGGGGGATGAGATAGCAAGAGCTATAAAATGTGTGATGGAAAGTGATAATTTGGTGAGGAAGAAGGTGAAAGAGAAGAGTGAAAAGAGCGGATTATCAGTGACGGATGGTGGATCTTCATTTGCTGCATATGGAAAACTGATTGAGGGTTTGTTAGTAAACATGTAATGAAGAAGATAAGTTAACGGAATATGATACGTAAAAAATTGAATGGATACATCTTCATTATCTAAATAATTGAATGGATACATCTTCATTATCTAAATAAAATTAGTGTACAATTTGAAATTATGCAGCATCGTATATAATAAAACCTCTCTATAGTGATACTTTGTATAGGAATAAACTCTACATGGTTATAAAAAATTATATTCCCAATTTGAAATAGTTATAAATAAGAATAAACTTTATATTGTAATAAGTTATAATTTTTCTAATTCTCGCCTTAAGGAAAGCTGCATTTATATAACAATAATTATCTGTATATTACAAAAAAAATTATATGTTTTATTACATTAAAGGTTTAAGATGAAATAAAATATTTATCTAAAATTGTTTGGGACAATTATTTATACTTTAGAGTTGTTACTACATCTCTTACCTTGCGAGTACATAATAACTCACTAGTATGAACATTTTCTTGTTGAAGCCAAAATATTTTTAACCTTTGAAGCATGTTGAGAACTTCATGGCACAAAACCTTTCGTATTTTTGTGCTATTATCCTCATGATTATTTCCTTTCTCTTATTCTTGTCTAATTGCAACAATGATTTCTTCTTTAGTTAAAGCATATACGATTTGTTGCTCATTTGGATGATCGAGGAAGACATTAATATCCATTCAATTAGTATAGTGAAGTTGTCAAATTTGATCCATCAATTCTACAATGACTATTTTATTCTCCTCATCCACTTCATTTGTAGTTTGCAATTCATCGACATTGGAGGTCCTAATTTTGCAGTGCTTGAAACCATTGGTAATTATCTGTGGCTTCACATCAATTGACCATGCATCAACTGCATTTATAGTTCCATCAATGACACTTATCTTCACTGGTTCCAAAACACGATCTTCTATCCATTTCGAACTAGGCAATGAAGCACTGAATTAAAATCCTAATACTACTAAAATATAAATTGAAATCCTAATACTATACTACTAAAACATGAACTATAAAATAAGAATCAAAATTAACATGGATGTTGGATCTTCTTTTGCTGCATTTGAAAGCTTGGTTGATGAAATATTAAGAAATGAGCCATCAAGAATCATAGTATCTTAATCATATTTAAGCTTTTATGGTTGGAATTATCTTCTATTAGAGAATATTAAAGTTCGAGTGTCCAAGATCCAGTGAATACCCTACAAACCTAATAGATTAGGTAAGTCATCACAAATGTGGTAGGTGACAATTTGTAGGACTCGAACACAAAACCTCTTGATAACTCACCCAGATCACTAAATTCTTGCCATCCGGCCACAAGGCTAATGGTCAACCTCAACATCCAGATGACCAATAACCACTGACAGGCTTTTCGCAAGTATACAAAATCATACAAGTAATAAAGCTCGAGTAAACAAGTATCGAATCCCAAGGGAACTACCTACCAAGTACCAAACTAGTCTATTTTGTTACTATTTGATGAAACAGAATTTTAAGAATGAATTTAATGAACAAGATAACAAACTAAAAATTGAATTTTATTAATACTTTGGTAAAGAAATCAATATGACTAAACCTAGGGCACAGATTTCACACTAATTTAATCATATGCATTGACAATTATTGCTAACCTAATTAAGCTTATTTTAAAGGTCAAACTCCCTAATATTCCACTAACTTTATCTCGAACAATTAGCGAATTAACCCTTAAGCAACAACCAAAAATATCTCTAAGTTGGATTTAGAAGCTAAGAGATCATTAAGTTCTATGGAATTTACCAAAGCCTCATAAATTACGATAACTTATCTCTAGCGTTCACTCAATTTATGGTTTTATTACCTTAGACAAATCAGGTTTTATCTCTCGATCTCAATCCAACCCATAAAATCATTCAACTCTCGGGCCCTTGAGAATTGAAAGCATTACACACAATAATAAAACTTAGAATTACTACTCAATATGAAATCAACAACAATAACGTCAATATATATTCATAAATTTGGGCTACATCTTTAGCCCTAGAAAAGGGATTTAGTTCATAATTGCAATAATAAAAACCATCATTGTATTCAATAACATGAGTTCAAGAAAGAAAAATATAAACACTTCTCTAATCGGTGAACGAGAGCTTCAAGAATCCTGATCTCCAAACTAGTAGCCGTCCTTCTCTTTCTATCTCAAAAACTCTCTTAAAACTACTTAAAGACCCTTATTTATAGTCCTAGGGTTTTGATCTTACTTAGGAAAAGATTAAATGCCTTAGCCCATTCAGATTCGGACTAGGATAATGCATTAACCTAACAGGTCTGTGACCCATCGCCGTGACGGTAAGAACAGTCGTTGTGGCGATCGTTCTTTCTATCCAAGGCGTTCGTGATCTTCAGAATTTGGTAAAGTCATCAACCCAAACTTTGTAGCTCTCTGAATAAAATTTCCAACGCCACTAGAATCGTCAAATTCCAATTTTTACAGCTCAAGTTATGACAGAAACATCGAAGCATACTCATCTTTAAGGATTTCCAGATTTTACATTATATCTTCGACGCGTCACAACTTTCTCGTTTCAACTCCGATTCTTGTACTGTTTGTTCCTACGCGGCATGAATTCCATCGACATCATTCTTTTCCCTTCAAATATCTGTTTGAGCCTGAAAACACTAAAAATACACCCGTGATCCCGTAAAAGGCATTTATAAAAGAATTAATTGAAATTTCACGATTTAAACACATTTTTTCATAAATAATTCAGTTACATCACTAACAAAATATAAACTTTCAAGCTCTTATCAACCACCTACAAAAACAGTAGAAATTGAATTAGTAAAATGATAATGTAGTAAAACAATTTCAATTTACATAAACATGTACTGATGTTGATTTTGCCGTCCAATATTCTCACCTTATAACCACTCCAAAAACAAAGTTTTAATCTTCACTTTGTCTAAGCGCCCAGTTTGTTTTATATATTGGACACACATCCAAGTAAATAAATAAGAACTTAGTTTCATCGCCATAATCTCCATAGCCAACAATGAAGAAAATTGCAGAGCTAGTGTTGATTCCTGCTCCAGGATTAGGCCACCTTGTGCCCAAAATTGAGTTCGCAAAGCGTTTGTTGGATCGTGATGATCGATTCTCAGTAACTGTTCTTGTAATGAGGCCTGCTGTTGTTCCTGATGCCATTTTTGCACATGTTGAATCGCTTGCAGCCTCTGATACTCGAATCAACTTCATTAATCTTCCCCGTTCTGATGATCACAACCGTTTAATGGAGTTTCCGAAGTCCCCAGAAAAGTTACTCTCGGATCTATTGGATGCTCAGAAGCCGTACGTTAAAGAGGCTATTATGAAGCATGTGATTTCTAACTCAAAATCAGCTCCTCTTGCTGGATTGGTAGTTGATTTCTTTTGCACATCAATGATTGATGTTGCGAATGAGCTCGGGGTTCCTTCTTATCTGTTCTTCCCTTCCGCTGCAGCTTGTCTCGGCCTTTTGTTAAGCCTCCTGGGTAGACATGATCAAGGAGGCAGAGAATTTGAAGAGTTAGAGGCCGATTATGTGTTCAAGAGTTATGCCAATCCAATTCCTGGCAGAGTTTTGCCCATGTTTATGTTCAACAAGTATGGTGGCTACACTACACTTGTGAACCACGCAAGAAGATTCAAGGAAACTAAAGGGATTATTTTGAATTCATTCGCGGAACTCGAATCTCATGCTGTTAATTCTTTGTTGAATGATGACGATATTCCTCCTGTTTACGCAGTTGGACCGGTGATGGATCTCAAGGGTGAGAGTGAGTCAAGGTCGGATGAGACACGACGCGATGAGATCATGAAATGGCTTGATGATCAACCTGATTCATCAGTTGTTTTCTTGTGCTTTGGAAGCCAGGGGAGCTTTGGAGAAGAACAGGTGAAAGTAATCGCAGAAGGACTGGAGCAAAGTGGGGTGAGGTTCTTGTGGTCACTGAGGAAGCCACCACCAAAGGGTAAACTTGCAATGCCTGGTGAGTACACAAGCGATATCCAGGAAGTACTACCAAATGGGTTCCTGGAGAGAACAAAGGAGATGGGAATGGTGTGCGGATGGGCACCGCAAAAGGCGGTGTTGGCTCATAAATCAGTCGAAGGATTTGTGTCACATTGTGGGTGGAATTCAATCTTGGAGAGCTTGTGGTTTGGTGTTCCAATAGTAACATGGCCTATGTATGCAGAGCAACAGATTAATGCATTCCAAATGGTGAAAGATCTGGGACTGGCTGTGGAGTTGAAATTGGATTATAGAGACACCAGTGGAGAAATTGTGTCAGCAGAAGAAATAGCAAGCGCTATAAAATCAGTAATGGACATTGACAATAAGGTGAGAAAAAGGGTAAAGGAGGTGAGTGAAAATGGCAGATCAACTGTAATTCATCAAGGATCTTCCTTTTCTGCATTTGGACACTTGCTTGAAGACATAATCAAAAACAAGCCTTGAAGATCAGGATGATTTGTCATCAATTTTTAATTTTGCAAAAAATATTCTGAAAATTCTTCCATATTTTCAGGGAATGAACAAAGAATACAATAAATCCACCAAACAAATACAATTTAACTGCAAGAAATTTGAGAAATGGTTTCAATCTCTTAAACAGCTGGAAATTTTGACATGAACTGCAGGATCCCTCTTCTTCTTCGTCTTCGTCTTCTTAAAATGTTTCGATGCAGCTTTCAGCATCTTACTCCATTTCTGCAAATAATCGATCAAGTTTTAGAAAGCAAGAAACTTTCCAAATTTACAACCCAAAAGCAGAAAATTTTAATTTCAATTACCTTAGAGCTGATGGGAACACAAGAGCCTTTAACAGAAGCGGGAGAGAATTCAGAGGCCATAACATTCACCATTTTCTTCTTCTTCTTCTTCATTGTCTGCTTCAAAAGATCGACATTAATGTTGAGTTTCTTCTTGAAAAAGGTACCAAAACCAATTTTCTGGGCGCTGTGATTCCGCATCTTCTTCTCCAACTCAAACCCACCTCCGAAATCATCATACGAGAACTTTAATGGAGTCACCAAGTCAAGGCCCATGGGTCTGTACGGACGAGGGACCAAAGGAGACCAGAGTGAGCTCTGTGAGTAGTCAAAGTCGAAAGCCGAGTTGTCGGGGAACTTGCACAGGAGATCTCGAGACATCAATGGCTCTAAGTACTCGATCACTTTAGCTGTAGTTGTAATGAGCCTTTCTTCTTCTTCTTCTTCTTCTTCTTGGTATTTCATTGTTTGATTTGCTGCGTGTTATGTTGTTACTTGTTTGCTTTTGAGTCTGAGTGTGAAACTTTTTAAGAGGATTCTGAGGTTGAAGACGACATAAAAAGTAACCGTTACATCTGAGTAGTTCAAGTACTTCTAAATGTTTTTATTTTCCGATTCTACCCTCAGTTTTTTTTAAATTCCCTGTTTTGTGTCTCTAGCCAACGTCACTTTGTGGGATTTTTTGGTTTATACATGTGCCCCTAAGATTTCTCTTAACGACAAAATCCCCCCTTAGGTATCCTAATATGGAATAACAATTTATTATGTGCCGCTAGTATTCTATTCTCTAAGGAGCCCCACCCAAATGGGTTGGATTTGGTTAATAATTAAATTTGGGATGGGTCGGATTTGGGTTTGAATATCTTGATCCAAATTATTTTGGAGCGGGTATGGGAATACTAACTTTGACTCTGACCCAATATATAACCATAAATAATAATTATATAAAATATTTAACATCTAAATTATAAGTATTATATATAAAAGGTTAATTATTTCCTTTTTTTTAAAAGAAAAAATAAACCCATAACCACCGCAACCTTATTCCTCAATTGACTTACTTCAAATTGATTTAATGTCACATTCTTCACATGTGAATTGAAAATAAGGTACGTAATTAGATTGTTTAATCTATAATTAATTAATTATTAACATCTTATTCAACTTTATAATTGTATGAACATTAACTTTATATAAAAAATATATTATCAATTAAGTAGTTCAGGTTTATGAATTATGATTTTACGTTATTTAGAATCGATTTTATAAACTTTTATAATTATTTATTTCTTTTGTTTATGATTTATTTCGAGGACTTATTAAATTTTGAATATAAATTTTACATTAATAATTAAAATCATTAGTTATCATTTTAATAAATTTATTTAATAATAATGGATATATTATGTTAGAGTTATTTTATACATAAAATGGATCAAATGAGGCGCGATCCAGTGTTTTCTCTAAAAAAAATAACCCAAACCCGCCCCATTTTAAGAATTGATAATTGGGCGGATATAAGTATTCATGAAAGAGGTGGATATGGGCATGGATTTCTTAGTATCCAACCCAACCCGCCCCATGACATCTGTGAGAACCCTTTTGAGTATGAAGCAAGAAAGTATAAGGGAAAAAAAATAGCATTAGTTCTTCATTTTCTCACCTCCCAAGCAAGCACTATTCCCAGCATGAAAGTAACTCAATATGCAATAAAGTTCCAAATAGTCTGAATAAAAAAGCAGTCCTATAATGCAAAGAAGAATATATATTTGTTTTCAGGATGATAATCCCATTTGCTTTATGGCCAGAGCCACTTTTGTCCCAGATTCTTGCTCTTTCCCTACTTCAACTGCCTCATTTATATGGATAACCGCAAACTGAAAAATCCCCAGTTGCGACCTCAGTACTAAACTTTGATGGAAATCTAGCTGCATTTCTTGCCATGGAATCATCAAGAGACTGCATCAGATTACTTGTTCTAGTTGCCACCACATTCTTCACTCTAACTGGTATTCTTCTTTTCTAATTGCATTTCGGTTTAAGTTTTTCGGTTGATTGGTTTTTAAATGAATATCAATGTGACGCAAGCTTTTACTTATTAGTTTAAGCTTTTAATTTTATAGATGGGAGAGTTGCGCGAGGTTCGCACTTTCGCGGTTCTAAATCAGAACAAGTCCAATCTACAACAGGATGAAATTTGATTTTGAAAAACCTGAATCATATGGCCTAAATTCTCCATTCTCCATGCCACCATTTGAATCACTAACACCACTTCCTTCACCAAATAACTCCCCGCTCCCTTCGGTGTCTACCCACCATTTCTTCCAACACCACCCTTCCAAAGCCCACCGTACAGCCCACCGCCAAATCCCATTTCACCAAGCTCACCTCTAGGCCCAGAAAGCCCGTTGCGCCAAATCCTATTCCCCAAGCCCACCTCCAGGCCCACAAATCCCATCGCCACCACTGAATCCCATTTCACCAAGCCAGAGCCCCACACAATTTGTCCCACTTCCACCAATTTATCAGCCACCTGTTGTTTTGCCACACCGTCTGTGCCACCACCACCACAGAAGAAGCCACAATAGCGTGTGTGGTGTGTGGCCAAGCCAACAGTGCCTGACTCAATAATCCAGAGGCCATGGATTATGCATGTGGATCAGGAGCAGACTGCAAATCAATTCAACAAAATGGTCCATGCTTTCAACCTAATACAATGTTTCTCATGCATCATATGCTTTCACAGTTACTGGCAGAAATCAAAGCAGGCTGGGGGAACCTGTGATTTTGGTGGGATGCTATGCTTGTCACTAAAGATCCAAGTAAGTATAGTAAATATTTATTATATCCATCTCTTGACTTTCAGAAATAACGTAAACCCCTACATTGTTTTGAACTATTAAAACTTACTTGTTATAAGTTAATGAACATTGACCCGACTACATTCTTGCTGTTTCTTTTAGATCTTAAGTTTATATCTTTTATCCTATTCTTGAACCTTACGCTTTGGCCTTTCCAAAAAGAACAAAAGAAATTCCTGTTCCACCCCTGGTTATCAATAGAACATGCATGTAGGGATAACATTTAGTATGTGCAGTTACAGATCCGAAGATACCAAACCTAATGGAATAGTCAAGATCAAATTTTTTAGACCCGACATATTAGACACCTCTACACAAAAGGAAAAAAAATTAAAAATATATATATATCTTCTTGGGAATATGCAACACCACCAGCAAGACAGTACTGAGATCACATGCAAAAAATTTGTCCGAGATAACAACTTCAATTTGATTTCTTACTTTCCGGAGGGTTTGTCTCCTTTGATATATAAAGACACTTATTTTTTGCAGATTCTTCCCCCTTTCGTTCTTTAATTAATTATGCATGCTCTTATATTATTTTTGCAGGTTTCGATGAGTGTCAATTCATCTCCAACGATTAAGAGAAATCGCTTTTGCTAGAAGCAATATCTTGTCTGTATTTATTAGGATTTTGGCTATGGAAACCCTTTTTCTTTTTTTTTTTTCTTTTTTAAGATAATATATTCTTCTGTGCATTAGGAATCATTAAGAAATAAAATATTGTAATTATTAATAGAGTTATTATTATTAGCAAGTTCTTTGTATGATTCTCTTGATATAGACTGTTATATATTATAAAATTGCCCTTAAATAGTATAACTAAGGTGGTAAATAAATTATATTTTGATTTGAAAACCTAATTAATAGGTTATTCTATGAATTATCATAGAATTTATAATTATTAGCTCGCGATTCGAAAATGTCCAATCGATAATTTTTCAACGTGATTTACGCAAGTGCTATCATAATATACAATTATACATGAGAGAAAGACTAAATCCACCATGAGCTTTTGATCCAATATCAGGTCCTAGTCTTTGAGCATGGCCAAAGTATACTCAGTGGGGTCGCTTGACCCTACTGAAATTTTAAAATTATTAGAATAGATATATATTTTAAGTAATTAACAATTTAATCCCATTAAAATTTATGGCTCCATTAAAATTATCTATATTTTATTAACCCCATTAAGATATTTTATTTTATTAGTTATGGAATTCGAAAATACTTATATTTTTTTTTTTCACGTTTGCTCTCTTCCTCAGTTTCTCTTCTCTTCTTTCATACTTCTTCTTCCTTTGATTGAAAAATCATCAAAGATAATATAAATTGATAATTTGGTATATATAACTTTTAAAAGTAAATTTTTAGATTATAATTATTTATGTTTATTACTTTAATTATATTTTATTATAAATTTATTAACTTAAATTGTTTGATGTTATTGACTATTAAATTGTTTGATGTTATTGATTAAAAATCATGACTATGTTCCTGGTTTAAACTATAGGAATTAGAGAATACTAAATCCAACACCAGGAGTAAATGCAATTATCTCAAATATATTGTTATATCTAGATTTTAAATCTGAATTTAAGTAAATTTCTCTACCACAAAAGTCGGTGCCTTTCATCAATGGAGGGTCCATTGCACATAAAGAATAATGAACAGGGGGATATAGACAAAGTACACTGACAATTTTTTCCAGGCTATTAATTGACTGTATCTAGCTACGTCAAAAAAATTGTCTAAAAAATATTATCTTTTATTTTATTTTTTTTGTCCATAGCGGAAAATTAAATTGATGGGTCAGTGTTAAAATGTCGTGTTGCTAACATTTCTTTTTCAAGAAATTTATGAGTGTAAAGATCTTGATCCAAGTTGAGAAGACAAGACAGCTGTTGGATGGCTGAGAATTCTCGTGCCAAAAGATTTGAGCCTGCAACTGTTTGTGTTTTTTTATCTTGTGTTTTTTTTTCTCATATCATTTTCAGTCAATATCATTCATCTCACCCAAAAATTTATCTATTACTGGATTAATATCAACAGCTTTAAAATCACATGGAGTTGTCTTTGGATGTTCAGTCTAAACATGCGATGATAAATTCATAATAGGATATTCAACTAGAGAATTACTATATATAGACTATAGAGAGATTCTCTTGTAGACACTGGAATACCTTGTGGTAAGAGGTACTTACCAAGTCCCAATCAAGATTGGTATTAGTCTCATACCTGGGCAAGGGTGGATCCACATTAGTTGAGGGTAGTCATGACCCACACTCAATTTAAAAAAAAAAAAAATACTATATATACCCTCAATTTTTTTAAAAATATTAATATATACGAAAAGTATTAATGTTTAATTAATTTTTATTTTAGTCTATCTTAACAAAAATTTCTAAATCCGTTATTGCCTTCGGTATAGGAAGACACGAGGATTTCACAAAAAAAAAACAATCATTATATAGCAGTATGCTAATATATATCCTAACATTTTAAACAAGCGTTCAAATTTAAGGAAAAAAAAATTAAAGCTTATGCATCTGAGAATATTTTTTCATTCCTAATGCGAGATAATTGGCCAGATTTTTTTTTTTTCTTTCCTTTTTATGACGTATATGAAAATGTTTGTGACATGCATGCAACTTGGAGATTGTAAGTTTTTGTATGT